ATTATTATATTATAATCATGCTGGCATAAATGCAGCATGAGATAGAAGTGGTGGGATAAAATGTTCATGGTGGGGCAAAGGCAGTTATTAAGCAGCCACATTTTGTTATCTCCATTGGTTTATAATGTTCTGCTTTTCATGTAAATGCTTAACAACATTTGGTTTTGTCTAACACTGGTATTGAAGGCAGTCTTTTTGCTCAGAGTGTGCTGTGTTCTGTTGTCAGATGAAAGCAGTAAAACAGTCTATGGGATGCATGAATGAATCAGTGTCAGACTCCCACCCTGTTTTATAATCATTGGAATTAAGATAATCAGTAATGAGATGGTTGGGGTGGTAAGTTAATTATCATTAAGTGCAAGAGCTGTGCTATAGATGACAGTGAGTGAAAACATGAGCACACTGTGGTTTTTAAGTTCCTTTTTTTTCAGCTAGTGCCATTCATCTCGTCATAAAAGAATGTTTATGTTAGTATGTCCATTCTGCATTGCATATTGACACATTATAGCAGATTTTGTGCATTTTCCTTCATTCTTAGCTAATTGCTTCAAAGTTTTCTGTTCTGATTTCTTGTTTAGCAATTAGTACAGTCACTTACCAGCTTTTGCCAATTGGACTTGTCAGTCTTAACAATTACCTTCGCTTCCCTCTCTGTAAACTGCCCTGCAGTCCTAAACATTTCACAGTTTGCTTCTCCAGAAGACTTGGTGGTACATGGAAAAAGACACACTGTTTAAAACATGCAGAACTTGTTCAGCATAAGCTGACAGCTTTCCTTTTGCAGTTGCTATTGTGTGTCTTTCAGATTAATTCTTTTGACAGATGTAATTTTCAGTAGTATTTCTAAGAATATATTTGGTATAATACCATGGGACCCACAAATACTTGACCTTCAGATTTACTTGCTTTTTAGTTGTTCTGTGAATGTGAGAAGTGAAATAATATTGGCTTTGTGTCATTATGTTACTCTTGCAATAGAGAACCAAAGGAGGAAAATCTCAGCACAGAATGCAATGGGGAAGATGATTCTAAAGGCATTCGGAAAAGAAAAGCAAAGTTACCTCTCAAAGAAGAGTCCCGGGATAATGGGGAGAAGAAAGAGACTCCTGATGAAATTGTCAGTATACATCATAAACCCATTCCTGCAAGTGTTGTGGTGGGAGTTTTGCCTTATATTGCAATGTCAGTAATTTTACCAGTCTACAAAGAAAAGTGACTGGATCACTCTGTCAGAGCCACAATTAGTTGGTTCATTTACCAGTTTAATCATGCCTCATCAGTAAATTGTAATTATTGACAATGAACTGATAAGCACTGTCTTTTATCTCTTTTCCTTGCTTTTTTAAGAACAAAGGGAATTTAAAGGGAAAATGATGCTAACCTAGACTTGCTATGTCTTCAGCATAGAAAAACAGGAGTACATATTTCCCAACACCTGTTACTTTGTCACTCTGCACATGAATAAATAACTATAGACCCATAATTGATTTACAAAACTACATTACACTTAAGAAGGGAATACTTTAGATTTTCTTAGTGTAATATAGAAAAATCATAGTCAAAGTTGTGGTTTCCAGGTGTGTTGCAGCATAATGTGCTTTGGGGCACCTTTTGTTTTTTTTCTTTTTGGATTTATTCTTCATTTTAGAAAAAAAACTGGCCGTGGTACCTTCCCATAAGGTTGTTTTCCTGTAATATTTGTTTTCTTTCCAATAGCTCTGATATTACTGGGGGAAGTGCAGTTTTGAGGGAGAAGGGGAGAATACTGCAATCACCAAATTGCGAAAAGGCTGCAGACACTGGAGTTGTCCAAAGTGAATTTGCAGCTTTCTGTATAGCAGTATCTTAGGCAAAACTCAGGGGACACCTTCTTTGCCTCCATGCAAATGAGTACTTACCCTATTCATCTACTCAGGTGCTAACAAAACTGTTAATACACAAACAATGAAATAAAAATCAGTGCATTTTTATATTTAGTAAAGCAATGATACTTCTGGAAAAAAACAACCTAAGGCTGTGAGAGATTTTTCTTTCAATTATTTCAGAAACCCGGACATACCAAAGATAGTGTTGTTTAACGGTGTCTCAGCAAGGCCTGCCAAAGGCTTCATGGTCTGTCCCTGGGTCAGGCAAGGCTAACTGGCTGTGTGTTGGGTGATTAGAGTCCTTTCTGTCTGTCATTTTCACTGTTTGCTGTGATTTGTCACTGATGGCTCGCTTTGTTTTATTAGGCATCTGCAGGTTTGTTTTGAGGTAGGGGAGGGCTGAGTCAGTAGCCATTTAGATGAAGTCACAGGTTAACTTTCTGTATCTCAAGTTTTACTCTACTAGACTTCTGAACAAATGAGATTACAGTACTCTTTCTTTTTTTTTCCTAATTTAGGAGGACAAACCTGAAGGAAGGATCTTGAGAGTCTCACAGAGAGCCAGGAGAAAAAGAAAAGGGGAAATAACAGTTTTGAAACAAAGTAAGTTAGATTATGATACAAAAATTTCAACTATCAGTGGGTAATGCTCATGTCTTACTGTGAATTTCCCGCATTGTTTCACTGAATTTGTACTCCCTATTGAATACTTTTTTTTCAGTTCTGTTAAAAGAGAGTGCTGGTGATATTTATAACAATTAAATCTTAAGGCTGCATAGAGGAGGATATAGTGAATGTAAAAGTAATTGATGCACATTTTAGGCTGGGGTTTTTTCATCCCTCTAAAGAGTGCTGTAGTATTAAAGGGAATCAGCCTCACTGTGCTCCCAGATGTTGAAAGACATGTATCAAGGAGAAGTGAAAGTTTACTTTTGTTTCCTTGGGGATCAATTTTGTATCTTCAGTATGTGCTGGAAATAGACACATTTATAGAACTGTTCAGGAGTAATTGCTATAATCAGTCCAAAGGGACATACACTGCATCAAGCAGCATAATAAAGCATATTTTAAATGATTGCTGGTTTTTGCAAGCTATTTGTATGATAGATAGTTCTAGGAAAATTTGGAGAATCAGCTGCTATTATCCCTCAGTGGTACACCAACTACAGATCTACGTCTTGCCCTCCGGAGTGTTTCTTGTAGTAGATGGGGAAACATTAACAAAAGTTGCCAGGCCATTAATCATCACAAAGCTCCGAGTGTCTCTGCTGCACACTAGATGAAATGCTGATTGAAGATGCGACAATGAAAGTTATGGAAGATCTCCCTCCCAAGACAGAATTACTCCTGAAGTGTTCTTTATACAGTTGTTTCCAAAGCTGAAGAGATAAGAAGTGTGTGAGACACAAGCACAAGGCTGATGTTCTGTGGAAGTCACTGCTGTCCACTGACATCTATGGATTTCTTCTGTTGTATTGGGGGTTTAGTATTTTTATTTGGGAATATGTCAGTTCAGCCCAAGAGATTCGGTATAAAAGAAGAATTTGTGTTCAGAGCCAAGCACAAAACTACTATTGTCCTGCATAACTCATCTCTTACATGAAATAGATAAAAACTGGGTAAATCACAAATGAAATGAACATGCTTTAATAGTGTTGAGCTGTTGCTGTCATTTTGAAATTTGTTATGTTTTAGTTACATCATCAGCTTTCTTCAGGAGAGTTTGGCATCACTATTGTTATGGCTCACGTTTTAGTAATAAAAATGCTTAGCCAGACAGTTGCTTAAGGGATTTCTTTCTCTTGTGAGTAGCCCAGAGTCTGGAGCAAGCAAGAATCATGGTGTGGACTGTGATGAATCCTCCTGGTAGCATGAGCTTATGGTTTGAAATGCTAAGCTTCATGTGCAGAGGAGGCATTTTAGGTGAAGATCAGTAGAGCAGAGTGGAGGTGTATAAAAGTAGGCACAAACATGGCCAGCCTCACAGGCCATCTGTTTTTGAAGTTCCTGGCTATTGGGAGTGCAGTTAGTGCTTTATTTTCAAGCCCTAAAAACTTACTGATGCAACTGTAAGCGATATTACAATTACTATGCAAGTGTGTCCAAGTATTCATACTATGAGAGCAAACCTGAAACTTGAGGTTTCTGTCATATGCTAATGACATGATGGGGGGAAAAAAGCACTGGTGACAATTCTGATGACTTAAAGAAATTATTGTTAGATCACTGCCTCTCCACCCAAACCCATCAAACTACAAGTGATGGAGCAGGTTAGAAACATTCTGAGTACTGTTAAAGAATAGGATATTTCAACTGTGAATAAAAAACATGCCACAAGTTCTATCCAGTTGAAAATGCTTTCAGGAAAAGAAATTCTTGGAGGGAAAAAAATTAAAATATTGAGATACTTTCTGATTTGAACTGGTCTTTCTACACATTTGCAAATTGTGTACCTTACTGCGTCTTACAAGCAATATAGAAAAAAGGGTTGGGGGCAGGACTTTGTGAGTTGTTCTTTTTACCTGAACAAGATTTTTCTTGTTACTAACCAAGGTTTGAAATGCTAGAAATGTTCCTACAGAGCTGCTTTTTTTCCTGAAATAAGTCCTGAGCAACACCATTAATACATTTAATAAAATGTAGATTTGAGATAAGTATATTATAAACTTCAAAGTGTTATGGGTTTTTATTTCTTTGAGACATTAACAGTTAGAGAATTATTTCGCTTCTTTTCAGCTGTACCCTCTAAAGGAAGGCAAGCATGGTGTTGGGCATCCTATCTGGAGGAAGAAAGAGCCATTGCAGTACCTACTAAGCTTTTTAAAGAGGTATGACCTTCTGAAGTTTAACTCAGTCAACCCCCTAAGGTCATGAAATTTCTAGGAAATCAATAAACAAAAATAATATGAAGATTTTACATTTCTGTGGGGGAAAACCTGCATGATTAAAATAATGCTGTCCATCAGCAATTGTTAAGACAGTCAGAAATGTGAAAGCAGTTATCTTTCTCTGCTTTTTCAGAGAATTCTGTTGTAGATGAATCCTGTCAACAGACTACAGAAAGCAGATGCTTTTCCAAAATCTGCAAGTTCAAGCCTTTCCTTCTAATTTCTGAAGCTAAAATTCCAATGCACCCTCACACTTTTTAATGCCATATCATTTTCTTTAAATATGTTTAGCAAGGTGGTACAAAGGTCATCTTTTGGCTTGTTGCCTCAATTATATTGCCTGTCTGTTTTGCAGCTCCTGCTGACATATTTGTTACTACATCAGATACTAGTTTGTCTTGTTCCCATTTTGCCTGTCATCTGATTAGATGTCATATCATCATCTCTTGCTTGTCCTTTGCCTGCTAAGTTAGTCTTTATCATTTGTCATTTCGGTGCTTTCTCTAGTGCTGCTTCTCTTGCTTGGAAGAGATCTCTATATGCAAATCCATAAAGTTTCCATGCTGTAATCTTCTCTGGCAAAACATGTGAACATGCCCCAGCTGCTGTACTTGTGCTATGGGGTTTTTTTTTATAATTCTGTTTTTACTTGTAATCTGTTTCTTGCATCTATTTCTTTCTGTATGCTTCATACTTCAACTATTTTTTGTGATCCTTTTGTGCAGGAATTAGCTTTTCAGCTTACGTGTGTGTGTGATGCTGACCTTTTATTGGTGCTTTTAGATGGTACTGAGTTAGAAAAGTGAAGCGCTAGGATTGTGGTGTACATAATCCTTAGATTTGTAGGTGCAAGGACAACAGTTAGCTAATAATCCTGTGCTATGTACTGGTTCAAAAATTAACAAACAGGCAATCTGTATAGGGAGTCTCTTAGTGAGAAGGTAGATTTACAAAGCATTGTTCTGCTTGTCTGAAGTTCCATGAAATGCTCTAGCAGCATGCAGGCATGTACTAGCCTTTCAGGGCACCGCACAGAGTGGTAAAGTCTGGAGTTACGTGGTGTTTCAAGTATTTTTCTCTACAGTGTACCTGGTTTTGTTCAGTGCGTCTTATTTAATACGTTCTCTCAGTCTTTAGCCCCTGAGTAATGCAAGGGTTTGATTGAGTGTGCTGTGCTTAAAGCCTGTAGCAGAAAGAGAATTCTTAAGAACGCTCAGAATTGGCCAGGTAATATTTCTCCATTTTACAGATGAACAAGCAAGCCACAGGAAGAGAAAGGTTAAAAACAACCAAACCAAACATCACCACTGATTTAGAATCCTTGATTTCTGTTTGCATCATGAGAATTACTCTTTTTTTCCTCTTTATTTTTCCAGTTCAGAAGCAATACTTTTCACTGTGTTGTTTTGTACCTTGATGTTAGGATGAAGTAACTTTTCAAATGTGTGTACTGCAGTCAGATACTGTGATGCCTTAACTGAAGCCTACAAAATGTTCTAGGTTGAGTGAGATAGGGCCTTAGAGCTGTGCTTAGACGTCTCTTAGGTGGTTGCTGTAGGCCAATTTAAACTGATCTGGTTCTCCATTTCCCTTCCTCTTGACTACATATTCCTGCTCCTGTTTCATGCCCTGCATTTTTTTTCTCCTGAGTTTGTTCCTCAGTTATATCAGGTGCAGCCAAAGCCCCAAAGAGAGGTTTCCTTTCCTTCCAAGTAGGTGATGCCTCTCTTGAGTACCTCCCTTGGTATCCTTCTCTTTCAATTGACTGCAGAGGTACTGCAGTTGACTAGGAAGCATGTGTAGCTTTTAGGCAGGAACAGAAGGAAGGGAGAACATTTAAGATACTTCTCCTGTGTTATTTCTGTAACCATTTGGAACAGAAAAGCTGTTGGGCTGTGAATTTGCTAACCTGTGGAAAACTGTCAGCAGTTTTGGTCACTCCTTTTCCTGATATTCCATCCAATTCAACATTAATATCTGCTACCTTCCATCCTCTTTAGCAGAAGGACACTGATTCCTTCTGATGAAAACATCCATTCTGCTTAACTTTGTTTTCACTTGCTGTTTTTTGGAAAGATGTTCTGGGTTCATTGTACAGTGATATAACATTAATCATGTTCCTATGATGCAGAAATGCTACCAGAAAACTAGATAGTCTGGTCTTGATATGTAAAGGATGCCAAATAGGCAACCCCTATATACAAACAATGTTTTGTATTTCTGAAAAGGCAAAGTAGAATATCATTGTGATTATTATAGGAATTACGTCCATCAGGAAGGTGTCAAAGTGTCTTTGTACAGGCAGAAAAGTAAATAATTGTTAAGATGTTTTGTTGACAATTACTGAAAAAAGTTGAAGACAAATAATGGCATATTCTTTCCCTTGACAAACTCATTTGCTAATTTTTTTTAATTTCTTATATACTCTCAAGCTTTAAGTCATTCTAGTATCAATGTGTTTTTCAAAAAATCATGAGTTTCTCTTTTCCACTCTGTTTTTGAAAATGTGAAACTTATTTTAGTGATTTAGTAGTTCTTTCAGAAACATGAATAATAAATAATCGTTCTACTCCTCATAAAGATATTCTGTCTAGTGTACTTTCAGAAGTATTGAAACAGTTCTTTTCCATTGCAGTATCAGTCTTTCCCATACAATAAAAATGGATTCAAAGTAGGGATGAAGCTGGAGGGTGTGGATCCCGAGCACCAGTCGATATATTGTGTTCTTACAGTGGCTGAGGTAAGTAAAAACTGCAAGCAGCCATGGTGTGGGATTACAGAAGAGATTGAAATGAAACAACAGCAGCTGAAAATGCTCTTACCTAACAGGCAGACTGAAACTATATGTAGGAAGATGACTGGGTTGAACTGTTTTCAAGTTTTTGAGTACTAATGGCAATATCCAGCTTTTAGTTAATTCTTCTCACCAGAAGAGAAGGCCCTCAGACTGAGAATAGCTTTGCTTTTTCCTTCTTTGCTGTTTATCAAATGAGTTTATTCATCCAGTGTTGGCTTGAGCAGAAGTAAAAGACTGACTGAAAACACGCAGTTATTATACCGTGTTATTGAACGGGAGCTGTTATGTGTAGGGCAAACTTATTAAAACATAGTCTTGTATGTTGTCAATTTGTGCTTTTAGGTTTGTGGCTACAGAATACGACTCCATTTTGATGGATACCCAGATTGTTATGATTTCTGGGTGAATGCTGATTCTTCAGACATTCATCCTGTTGGATGGTGTGAAAAAACGGGTCACAAGCTTCATCCGCCTAAAGGTACTGTTTGGTCTGAAATCTGTGTGTTTACCATAGTTCTGAGGTTGAGGCTACCTGTGTAATGCTGTAATTACCTTTTTTTTTTCAGGAATGTGTTTGTTCATTTAGTCAAGAGTATTTGAATTAAATGCTATGTCTTGCTTAAAATTTTAAGATTGAAACCCTACCTTTTATTTTTCAGTGGAAATTCTGAGAAACCAAAAAACCAGAAAGAGCCATAAGAGTCATTAAGAAAGAAAAAATGAGCAATAAACCTAGAGCCCAAATGAATGCTTGTTGCAAGTAAAGTGGCAGCACACTGGTGACATGGATGCTTAAACCGAGGTCTTACAGGCAGCTGAGAATCCTTTAGATCTTACAACATTTTTGTTACTGTATATTGATCATCATTATTGTACATATATTGGCACAGACTAATAAAGACTGTGCTCTTTCTACAAAGAGTTAAGTTTAGGAGGAATAAACAGATCAGTAGGGAGAAAAAAAGGATAAAATTACAACCCTGAAAGTGTAATTTGTACATAGATTATGTAAATGGTATACAGGTGTTGAAATGTGTCATTTGCTTGCATAATTAATTCTATTTCAGGTTATGTAACTCTCCTTAGTAGCCTTTCATTTTCCAGCTATAAAGTAAATTTCTGACCTTGTAAACCATGAACAATTTGGAACCCAGTGGCCCGAGAAAGAAGCAGACACTACTGCTGCCTTTCTAGGAAGTCTGGCCCCAGTTAGTC